AGCATTCAAATATGATATTGTAAAGCCTCGCCCATACTGCAAACATGGGCATCATACTTAACATTCAGGTATGTGATGATTGAAGGAACAGGACTTTGTCTTTCTCCTTTCAAAACAAGCTGTGTACATTTATTTTCTCACGGTAGCAAAGCTCAGCATTCCTCATGACATTAATGTGAATCAACATCAACAATCAGTTTAAGTTAAAACAAATGTCAACCTTAATATAAATGATGGTTTATAGGCTGTAGCTCTGCCTCATGGAGCTCTAACATCCTCGTCTACAGACTTATAAACAAAAGGGTGTAAAAGTTGTGTTGGAACACACTGTGGTACAATCCTTGTGAGTGTTATTTAAACAGTACTGCAGTGTAGAAAGTAGTGCTGTTATAAAAATGTGGAGAAGAAGCCAATCAACAATCATGACTATCACACTGATACACATCCGAGAGCAACTTGGGGTTAGTATGTTGCCCAAGGATATTTGGGTTATGCTGATGCAACACTGCAGGTAAGGTGAAAAAAAAACATAAAAAGCCTGTCACTATTGTACTTGGGGTTACTAAAGGTCATTGAAATTCTGCAGATCACAGCTTTGTAGGGAGGGACGCTACAGTACTGCACTTGGGGAAACTCGAGTTATGGCATGTTAAACAACATCAGGTATGAAACAGGTATGATGCACATATTAACCAACTTTATTTTAGGCTGCACAAAAGAGTCACTACCTGTAAATGTATATATATATTCAGTCTGAACCACAGAGCCCCGTCATCATTGCCATGTTGTCAGGATTCCTCTTCAAGCAGCAGAACTCTGGACCTGCTTTGTCTTTTGTTAAGGTCATGGTCAAGGCCTTCAGTCATGGAAAAAAGATGCAAACACACCAGAAATCACCACAGAAACACATGCAAGTACTTTTCTGAAACAGTGTTTTAGTTTGCATGTGATGAAGTTTAAATTTCTTTGGCATTTTTGAGCTTTCAGTTGCTCCAAGACAATAAAAACAGTAACATTATACAGAATGGTGAACGCCAGTTCAATGCTTGTTTGTGCTACAATACCTATCATCAGTCAGAAATAGAGGCTGACATCCAGGGAATAGATTGTAAGAGGTGGAGTTTATTTACATTCAGATGGATGGTACAAGAAGGTATGGTATAGTGTAGGTGGATGTGGCGGGGTCATGTGGTTTAGTTTACCATACTGTAAAGATACAAAACAAATAGAAGTCTTTAAGGTCATACTCACTGATGACGGCCCATCAGACTCACTCAACACTAAACTTGTCTGTGGTCCTGACCTGGCAGCTGTGGTTGGGGGGGGTCTGTGCCGGTTGACGTTGGTTACCGGGTTAGTCCTGTCATGGCAATTTTTATAAACACCCAATGAGCATCTTTTTGAAATGTATTTAATCACGTTGCCTCATGGACAGAGCGCCCTGGTCAAATGCCAAAGTGGTCTCTAACGATGGTCGCCACCCTGATCTCTTATACACACACTGACAAAGACATTCCACAATATTGCAACATCTCATACGGCTATACATTCAGCTCAGTTCATCCTTGAAACCTTCCCTTCAGAGAAAGAGAGAGAAAGAGAGAGAGAATTAGAAGTATTAGAAGAAGTAACAAAGGTGATATTATTATTTACTGTGCTTTTCATAATGATTTCAAGTGTACTCAGAGCAGAGGTCTTTTACCCGAACTTGACTGCTGTGCCACAGTTCAGCTAAGATAAAAAAAAAACAACCTACTTTACTGATGTTTACTGAGGATTGTTGAGCATTTCATTTATTCCTTGCGAAGGCTGCCAGTCACTACAACAGAGATACGTGGCTGCATCTGTGCATAGCAGATAGTTAAGGGCAAAATTTTGCCGTTTTTTCTGCTGCTTAGAAATGAAAGACAAGATCTGAGAGTTAAGTAAAAAGTCAAATTAAGCACAAACAAACATCTCCTCACACCCATATATGGCTTAACTTTAATGGTTCACTATATATAGCATAGGCGAGCCCCTAAATGGCTGGGAGTGAACATCCTTTACCAGATAAGGAAACCAGAATCTCACATGGAATGTGGGAGGAACAGAAGAATATCTAAACATGCAGTTCAAGGCAAGGTTTACAAATTTAAGTACAATAATGGCAACATTTAACAATTCACTCCAACACTGCCAATCAGCAAATATCAACTGTCAGAAAATGACTTACTGTTTCTCATCTTCTGAGAGAGTATCATGGGTGTTGGATGCACTGTGAAAATTTATCAGTGTTTCTGAAACTGTTCCAAGAGCCAGCTGAAAAGAAATGCCAACCACAAATCAGAAAAAAGTTGAAACATTTAGCATTCCTGAGATGTTCATCTGTCACTGTTATCTTGGTCTTCTGGGTTGCTGTAACCATGATGATGATAATCTGTGAGGTGAAATTAAAAAGGCCAGTCTTCCTTTTAACTATAAACTAAAAGAGAGAAAAACTAAAGAGAACCCTAAACATGTATTATCAGTCTTCCATCTTTAAAAACTTGAACAAAAAAATTGTCCAGTCCTTATATTGATGATTAAGTTAGTATTATTAGAGTTGCAAAGTACAAAGTCAAAGCAAGTAGAAACAAACATGTTGTGTTTTTCTTGGCTACGGTCAGTGGGCTAGCCAGTAATGATTTCCTCCCTACAAAGCTGTGGACAAACCACATTTAGGGCTTTCTTGATGTAATATTCTTCTGCTTCCCTGGCCGCTGTGTCTGTGCGGATGGTGTTCGCTCTGTGTTGTAGCGTCCTGATGACACCCAGTTTATGCTCCAGTGGATGATGAGAGTCAAACCTTAAATACTAATCCATATGGGTAGGTTTACGGAAATCTCACAGTCTAAGAAGGCTTGGTGGTGTTCCAGGGTAGGATAACAAAGCCCTCTTTTCCACTTCTTTCATGTACAAGTTGGCCACTATGGGTGAAACTGGGGAGCCCATGGCACAGCCATGTTTCTGCCTGTAGAACTGACCCTTGAATGTGAAATAGGTGGAACGAAGACACAGTTCCTGTCACAATCTGGTAGTAGGATCTCAAGCGCAAAGCGGTAGGCGTCTCCAAAAAACAGTTTATTTACAGCACCAGTGCACGATATATACAGTGAAGGGGAATCCAAACTCCAGGGAATCACGGGGAAGCTCTCTCACACTCGCTCACGTCTTCTTGCCCAAACTCACACACGTTCACACGACTGGGG